TTGTCAAAAGTCTCTGAAAGACCAAATACACCACATTCACTGATTTATTTTTTATCTACGCTATAAGTAAAATTCTCAAATAACTTCAACATGTTTACCAAACGTGATTTGCCTTTCATAAATCCATGTTGTCTCTGCCCAATTTTACCATTTTTTCAAAATGTCAGTTCCCATGAGTGTTAAAAGTCTTTATAATAGACTTCAAGATATTTCCTAATAACCATGGCAACTATCAGGTTTGTAGTTCTCCATTCTCCCTCTTCCGTTCTTCTTAAACAGTGGGATTATATTTGCTACTTCTCAGTCTTAAAGAGCTTTTCCAGAATTTATAGAATTTTAAAGATGACCATCAATGTAACAACAATCTCAATAGACATCTTCTTCAACACTCTCCTGCAAGAGATTTATCAACCCTCAATCCAGTTCATTTCTCAAATATTGCCTCTTTGTTCATGCTAATTGCTCTGAGTTCCTCAGTTTCACTAATCTTTGGATGCATAATATTTCTGGGAGATTCCCCGAATATTCTTTTGTGAAAACATTTCCCTGTTCTCCAGCTCTGTCTCCACTTGTCATAGGTCCACATTTGTCCTAGCTAATCTCTTCCTTACATATGCTTAAAGAAACTTTTACTTGCTAACTTGCATTCAGATTCTCTTTTGACTTTCTTTTATCAGTTTCTTGCCCATCCTTTGGTGGGTTGTAAATTGCTACCAGTCCTTCTCAGATATTCTTTTAAGGCAATTCCTTCGATCTAATGCAATCTTTAACTTTTTTCTTTGGCCCTAATTGATTCACCTTTCCCTTTGGGTGTTTATTGTCTTAGAGGAATGTTTTAAACCATATAACAATTTTTAAAATATTCGCCATTAACCGTTCAATTTTTTAGTGTATTTTCCCAATCCACTATAGCCATTTTACCCCTCATACCTTCATAATTTCCTTTCATCAGATTTAAGATCTTAATTTCTGAATGAACTACACACGTTCAAACTTAATGTGAAATTCTATCACATTATCATCACTATTCCGCAAAGGCTCATTTACAGCAAGGTTATTAATTAGCTTTCTCATGATATAATATCAAATCTAAAATAGTCTTCAACATTCAGCTCCAGAAACCTAATTCATGCTCACTCTAGATATGGTAGTTCTCTTATAATGTGATAATTGCATTCTTGCATAACCTCACGCTAAGAAAATCGTGCTATTGAAAATTGCCATAGAAAATCGTATCATAAGGAAATTGCTTTAGAAAATCACTATACTTGTACAGCAGAAAGTTTGCATTATCTGGACAGTGTTCACTATTCATCACTTGCGTTATTGCCAGTTCGCGTTAATAAAAGATGCGTTATAGCATAACTACCATAATTCATCTTCCACTCTACATTTGCCCGGTTTACATGACTTTAGAAACCACCCATTATTACCGTATTATGCGCACCATATGCATTTCTAATTTCCTTATTCATATCATGCCCAATATTTATACAACAGTTTTGTCGTAATAAACAACTTCTACTAATGTTTGCTGCCCTGGGGAGTCCCGAGTTCCACTCAAGCTATTTCTATATCTTGATCTTCAATCTAAGATTCTCTTACAAATGTCCTGATCTCATCCCTTATTAAGAATACCACTCCGTTTTCTTTTCCTTTTTGCCTAATCTTTCTAAATGGCAAATATCCTTGGATATTCAGTTCCCAATCTTCATCACAAAAAATAGTTAACTTAATTATATTTAGATCTTGTTTGTCTAGGAACAAAGACAATTTTAGGATCCAGCCATCACAGTTTATATCTTTATTAAGTACAAAAGTACAATGATGAGACAGAGTACAGGAAAGAAATTGAGTGCTTAGCCGCATGGTGTAAAGACAACAATCTCTCCATCAATGTCAGCAAAATGAAAGACCTGGTCATTGAATTCAGGAAGTGGACTGCAGGGCATGCCTATGTCTGTATCAATGGTGCTGAGGTGGAGACAGTTGATAGAGTCAAGTTCCTGGGAGTGATGATCACCAACAATCTGTCCTGGTCCACCCACATCGACATGACAGTCAAGAAAGCACAATAACGTCTCTACTTCAAATTAAAAACTGAAAGAACTGCGGATGCTGTAAATCAGGAACAAAAACAGAAGTTGCTGGAAAAGCTCAGTTCTGAAGAAAAGTAACAGACACAAAACTGAGTTCTGAGGAAAAGTAACTGGACCCAAAATGTTAATCTTGTCTTTTTTTTTCACAAATGCTGCCGGATCTGCTGAGCTTTTCCAGCAACTTCTGTTTTTATAATGTCTCTACTTCCTCAGTGGCTAAGGAAATTCAGCATGTCCACAAGGGTTGTTACTATTTTTTTTTGATGCAGCATAGAAAACATCCTATCTGGATGCCTCACAGTGTCTTATGACAACTGCTATTCCCAACACTGCAAGAAACTAGAGAGTCATGAACATAGCCCAGTCCATCATGCAAACCAGCCTTCAATCCATTGGCTTCATCTATACTTCCTGCTACCTCGGGAAAGAAGCCAAAATAATCCAAGGCCCCCTCTCACCTTGGTTATACTCCCTTTCATCCTCTTTTGTTGGGCATAAGATATAAAAGTTTGAATACACTTACAAACCCAATCAAGTACAGCTTGTTCCCCGCTGTTATCAGACTTTGAATGGACCTCTCAAATGTTAATTCCGATCACTCTGTTTGCAGCTGTAACACTGTATTCTGCACTTGTTCTGTTACTCTGTATGGTACAATCTACCTGTATAGCACATAAAACAGCACTTTTCACTGTATATGAGACAACAATAAATCAATCAATGTCTTAAGGTTTGGTTGTTAAGCATAAGTCACTCAAACTTGCCCTTCCTAATTTATGGTTTGACCCAATTAATTGATTGGATTTTATCTTTAACTCTGTTTCTCACTCCACAGATGCTGCCAGATCTACTGATTGTTTCCATTATGTTTTTTTTATGAATTTCAGATTTTTAACATTGCAAAACTTATGTTTTTTTTTCCTGACTCATGTGATGTGCACCTTCTACTTAATTTAGATGCTTATGCTGCAGTCCTTATGGATGGTGCCTAGTAATCCGTGGAAAGGATAATTCTTTGCTCGCTATTCAATCTAGCACCATGTTCATTTCTCTTCATGGCAACTGAATGTAACACAGAATCTGTTGCAGTAGTAACCATCAATGTGCTACTCTTGAAATTATCTTTAGAGTTTTGAACAAGAGATTTGCACACAGATGGGATGATACATATTAATAGCGAAGGAGTAGCAAACACTGATGAAGAATTCCTCACTAATATTATAGATGTGTCATCATGGATGTTTTCTGTAAAGTTGGTAATGTTCTTGCCTCTGATACAGAAATTTTGGATTTGAATTTTACCCGAGGACTTGATCAGTGAGGAAATTTGTTCATTTCCCAATAAGAAAGATTGGCTATCCATCAGTAAGTTCTTCCAGCATACGTCATTAGCAGGCAGTAAGAGCAGGAGACATTCTGGGTCAGCGTATGACAGAAAGTTGAAGGCTTCACCATCACTATCCATAGCGCCACACTGTATCATGCTGGTAAAAGTTCATGTTACCACAGCATCTGGGACTCCTTGAGAAAATAGTAAAACGTGTGACCTCAGCATCTTTCTTTGGCAACTTGAGTTAAAACGGAGCATTATTTGAATAAACCAAAAATAATGCAACTTATTCATCCCAGGTGATAATTGGAAGTTTGTGATCTGGAAGAATGGATGTCAACAACTGTCGTTGTAGTGAATTTAACAAATTAACTTAAAAATCAGCAAAGCCATGGAATGTATTTTCATGACTGCAGATCAGCTTAAATGGAAAAGTTCGTCTCAGGCAAAAATGGAAAAAAAAATGTTTCTTGGAAAACAGGGCTCGCGCGGGCTGATAGAATCAGCTCCATATAAATAAACCACCTCATTCTGTTCTTGTCTGTCATTGGGACAGCTGTGCGATAGAGATAATAGTATTCAACTTGAAAATGTCCACGTCCAATGGATGTCAGTCACTACTGGGTTAGGCCACTAAAGTGCGAATCCGTTTACCACGTAAGTAATTGGGCTGGCACAGATTTTTGTAGGGATTACGTTTGGGAATAGCCTGAATTATCACATGTAACAAAACCACCATGCTGCTTGTCCCCTGACGCTCTCTGGGATGGGATCGTTTGGCACTGGGAGCGTCAATTTAAATTTGGATTACGAGCTGTAAGGTAATGCCCCTACGTCTGCACAAGAAAGCCCAGGTACAAGCCCCACCTTCAAGGTGTGTCATTACATCTGTGAGCACGTTGATTAGAAAATATCTAAACTTGGATTACAAGAAATTTCTATGACACACTTCGCCCTCTGTACTTCTCTCTCTCTCTACCTCGTTTATTTAATCTTCACTGGGAAACGCATCCATTACAGATAGAGCAGCTATGTGCAATACCAAGCTATGATTAAAATGCAGCTAGATCAGCAGCGTCTCCGACTACACTGGGGACTGTGACGATATATATACCACAAGAAGCTATCGTGGATTTGATTGGTTTCAAACAGAGGGTTCCTTTAATTTCTGGATTAATGCCACAATTCCAAACAAACAAAAAAAATCCGGATTCAAGGTAAATATACACTTTTAAAAAAGACACCATTTCTAAAAGCACGTCAAAGAGACATGCCTTGATGCTTTCCAATGGGTTAATTATTCCCACTGTGACTCTCGGATTAATTTGCAATAACAATTGTATGAAAGTGCTAGGTTTAAAAACGCAATAAACTTATTTCTCGACTTGTTCCAATTGTAATTGTGTCGTGGTTCGCCTGGGAGACGGTTGGACTGTCTGATCTGACGTTTTCAATTGCCTTCAGCAGGCTGCCGAGCGCTTGCTTCTCGCTAAGAATCAAGTGCAAGCTGTCTTGTGCTGCCCTGTTCCTGTGTGGATATTCATGGTGAGAGGACCGAGTCGACGACACAGATGAAACGAGAGATGGCTTCTCGCAAAATACATCTCCAATGTCCCATCGCGACAATTAACGTCTCATTTCTCAGAAAGGTGGTCTTCTGGACATTTCTGATCGCGTGTCTTCCATCCTGGTAAGTTTTTGTACATCGCCTTTTATTTTGCATATGTATCACCGTCTTGGAAATACAATCAGATTGGAACTCTTTCTCTCCCTCCTGTAATCAGCGATTACTGCATCGTTTGCATTCCTCATCACACAAGAATGCATTAGCTTCCTATCAGGTGTTACATAGTTACGTTGTTATGGGTCGTCAGGTCTGCTTAAATTTAAACGTGGCGTTATAGTTTTGTGTCTGTATTAGGTATATCAACGACCTTTAATTCCATAATGTTCGTCATTTTGCCTGTGGGCTCAGATTTCATTGTTCATATATACGGTGGAAAACGAATCACAGCGTTTGTCCGCATAGCCCCTCTCTTTCGCTTAAAACATGAATTTACGCGAAGCTAGAAAGAACGGTGCTGTTCCATTGTAGCCTCCTGGATTTCCGTTTAAAGGTTGTCTGTTGCAGCATTCTCTTCCCTGTTTGTCAGGACCGTGTATGTGCTCTTAAGTAGGTCATAGTTCCTCTCCATCGCTGCACATAAATAGTTTGTCAAATGAAGGCAGATTCAGTGCAATCTTACTCACATGCTTTCTCACACACAACACACGCAGTTGTGCACTGGGGATTTACATACTTAGCCAGTTGCACAAACGTATGTGACTGCACAGACACCCAGGCTCTCAAACAGGTATAAATGCTTTGCTTGACAGTTGTATGCATACAGTGAACCTCTCGTTCAATCCAGGTTGCACAGATGCCCGCAATATAATGGAACGTCAGATGAAAACGTGCTGCAAAGTCTTTTTTTAATAACGTGTCTGACGTAGAGTACTGGTTTACCAACCTTGGAAATCTGCAGTTTGTTGTTAAAGTCATTTATGGGACATGTGCATTGTTGGCTGGCCAGCATTTATTGACTGACCCTAGCTGCCCTTGAATTGAATGGCTTGCAAGGCCATTGCAGAGGGCAGCTGAGAGTCATCCACATTGCTATGGGTCTGGAGTCACATGTAGGCCAGACCAGGTAAGGATTGCAGATTTCCTGCCCTGAAGGATATTAGGGAGCCAGATAGGTTTTTATGACAATCGACAAATCAGTAGATTCTTAATTCCAGATTTCTAAAAAATTGAATTCAGATTCCACCATCTGCTGTGGCAGGATTCAAACCAAGGTCACAGAACATTAGTTGAGTTTCTGGATTAACAGTGTGGCGATAATAGCACTGTGCCATCGCTCCCCCATGTTTGGGATGTTTGAGATTCCCATGTTTATTGGTGGTGGGGATGGTGGTGTGAGATTGGTGAATGTTGCCTCTGGTTCCTTTGCAAATTTGAGAGATTAAATATTTCATGTGTGCCTGTCCAACAATTAAAGAAGAAACACTTGAAAACAAAGTAAGGTGACACAGATTTCCTTCCATTCTGGTTACAGAGCACAGGTACCAAATAACATTGGCTAATATATTGTAATTGTATTTTATAGTTAAGTGACATTAGGCTGACTAGGAGTAAGTCTCTTCCAGCTATGCTAAGATAGCCATTGCAGAGGCAGTTATTGTAGTGGCTAGCAGGGAACTACAAAAAATATTCAAAGCCTCTTTTAGGAATTGGAGAGAATGACATGTCACTTTTCGATTAGACACTAGTTCTACCTTTGTTGATTGGATGAAATCAGAAAAGTTGTTTTACACAATGCAATTGTACTCTAAATCATGTTGGGAATCCATGGCCTACGGCCATAATACATGCATTTTTTTAAAAGGAATAATGTCTTATACAGGAGTTGGCAAGCTTTTTTCTTTGTAACAAAAACCTTGAATGTTAGATAGCAGAGAAAGATAATTCAAAAATGCTTTACCCTGCCATCCACCATGTTTTGGAAGTGCTTTCCTTAAATTAAATAAAGAAAATCACATGTGGAAATAATGAACTAGATTATACACTAAACAGTACTCAAAAATGAAAACGTATAATTATATTATTTTCAACCCCATCATGTTACAAAAATAACAGACCCATCTAATGCAGTGTTTTGTCTCCTTCATTACTGATTTGTGTTCTCTTTGGACTAGGACTTATAATTTGATTTTTAATCCTGAATATTTTTTATATATGTTAAGCTTTGCTTTCTGATAATTTTAAATTGTTGCATGATCAGGTATTAACATCAAGGTGCCTGTCAAGCATGAAGATAGTAGATCATTTTTGGCATACAATTAACTCAGTGACTGTACCTACTACATACGTGTAATAAGCCCATATGGTGAGATGGTTTCTTAGATGTATTCAAATCAAATCAGTTAAGTTGTCAAATTATCTTGATAAATAAAAGCATGCATATAAAAGTAATGTTACGTATTCATTGACTATTCCACATCTTAAATCTATGTCTTGTATGGCAATTACATGCTCCAGACCAGAGATTTTAAAACATCCCACACTCCAATATGGTACTGAGTAAGGGCTGTGCTGTCAGAGATGCTGCCTTTTGGATGAAACATTCGACAATGGCCTCATCTTCGCTTTTCGGGTAGACGTGAAAGATCATTTGGCACTATTTCAAAGAGGAACAGCAGTGTTCGCTCTGTTTTCCTGGTCAAAGTCTTTTCCTCAACTACAGTTAGATCATCTGCTCATTATCTCATTTCTGTTTGTGAGACCTTGCTGTGTGCAACGTGGTTGTCATAATTCCAACATCAGAACTGTGACTACACTTCACTAGCTGTGTCATATTTTGAGATTTCGTGAGATTATGCAAGATGCCAAATGAAATGCAAGACTTACATTCTAATTTAGAAAATAAAAAATTTAAAACTTCCATTGTCACTTGAAATTCACTTGCAGCATAGTAGGTGATCTTTATTTTATTTGCTCATAGGATGAGGGAATTGCTGGCTATTTTTTCAAATCCCTAATTAAGCTGGTAAAGGTGAAGTAACTGCCTTTTTGGGATGTAGGGATGCCCACACTGCAGTTAAGAAGGGAGTGCCAGGATTTTGACCCAGTGACACTTTACAAATATATTTCAAGTCAGGATTGTGTTGGCTTGGAGGGGATCTTGCAGGTGGTGGTGTTCCCTTGCATCTACTGCACTTGTCCTCATCGGTGGTGGAGGTAGTAGGTTGCCTTTGAAGGAGTCTGGATGAGTTACTGCGGTTCATCTTGGAGATGATAGCCACTGCATGTCAGTGTTGGAGGATTTGAGTGTTGAAGCTGGTGGATGGGATGTCCATCAAGGGGGATGCTGTATCCTCAATGGTGTTGTGCTTCTTGATTGTTTTCATACAATCGTAGAATCCATACAGTGTGGAAACAGGCCATTCAGCCCAACAAGTCCACACCAATCTCACTCCCTACCCTGTAACCCTACAATTCCCATGGCTAAACCACCTAACGTACACATCCCTGGACACTATCGACAATTTAGCATGGCCAATCCACCTTACCTGTACATTTTTGGACTGTGAGAGGAAACCAGAGCACCCAGGGGAAACCCACGCAGACATGGGGAGAATGTGCGAACTGGACACAGACTGTTGTCCGAGGCTAGAATTGAACCCGAGTTCCTGGCTCTGTGAGGCAGCAGTGCTAACCACTGAGCCACCATGCTGCTCCTTGTTGAAGCTACACCCATCCAGGCAAGTGGATAGTATCCCAGGCATTAGTTGATCGGCTCAGTGCGGACCTAACCTCTGAACCGCTCTTCTAGCCATGGTACAGATATGATTGGTCAAGTTCGCTTTCTGCTGAATGAAACCCTCAGGATCTCGACAGTGGGGGATTCAGCGATCATAATGCCATTCAGCATCAAAAGGTGATTGTTAAATGCCTACTTTCTGAAATAGCTAAAGGTAGTCAGGTTAGGACATCGTCATGAAGAACTCCTACAGTGATATCCTAGAATCATATCTAATAACTACAACCATCTTACATTCTCCTAGGAATGACTCCAACAAATAGAGAGTTTTCTACTCGACCCCAGTTTTGCCAGGGCTGCTCGATGTCATTCTTGATCAAATGCTGCCTTGATGTCAGAAGCAGTACTCTTAATTCACTTCTCTAATTCATCACTTTTGTCGATGTTTGAATAAGGCTATCCTAATACCAGGAGCTAAGTGGACCTCGTGGAACCCAAACTAAGAGTCAGTGAGCAGTTCATTCCTCTCCAAGTCCCATTTGATAGTACTGTTATAACTCTTTTCGTCACCTTGCTGATGATTGAGAGTAGATTGGGGCAGTAATTGGCTGGGTTGGATTTGTCTTGTTTTTTGTGTACAAGACGTACCTGGCCAGTTATCACATTTGTTGCATAGATGCCAGTGATGATGCTGCAGTGGAACCACTTGGTTAAGTGTGTGACTAGTTCTAGAGCATCTAGAGCAAGTCTTCAGCACCAATGCCAGAATGTTCTTAGATTCCATAGCCTTTGCAGTATTCACTGCCTCAGCCAGTTCTTGGTATCATATGGAATGAATGATTTGGTTGAAGACTGGCATCTCTGATGCGAGGACCTGAGAGAGGTTGAGATGGATCATCTACTCAGTATTTCTGAATGAAAATGGGTACAAATGCTTCTGCTTTGTCTTTTGCATCGATGTGCTGAGCTCCCCCATTATCATACTTGTGGAGGTGCCGTCTCCTGTCATGTGTTTAATTATCCACTACCGTTCGTGAATGAATGTGGCAGGACTGCAGAACTTCAGTTGATACATTGGCTGAGGGATCACATAATGCTGTTTATTTCATACAGTTCCCGCTGTCTTGGCATACAGATAGTTCCTTGTTGTAGCATCACTGGATTGACACCCCATTTTTATGTGTCTGGTGCTGTGCATTGCATGTTCTTCTACACTCTTCACTGAGCCAGTTTTGATCTCCAGGCTTAACAGTAATGGTAGAATGGGGCCTATGATGGACCGTATGGCTACAGATTGTGGCTGAATGCAATTCTGCTGCTGCTCATGGCCCACAGTGCCCCTTGGATGTCCAGGTTTGAATTGTTAGATATGTTTGAGGACATTCAGCATGATGGTAGAGCCATGCATTATGATGCAGGATGCAAATATGAAACGACAATGCAACTGCAATGTGTAGTTTGAGGATAGAGTAATTTTTTTCCTCTCTTGCTGTTATCCTCGCCAGTTGCCGCAGATTAAGAGGGCTCTTGTGGAGCAGTGGCAATTGCCCCACCTCTGGTCCAAAAGGCCCAGGTTCATGTCCCACATGCCCTGGAGTTGGCTGATTAAAAATAATTTAAAAATTGGGGTGGCACAGTGGAACAGTGATTAGCACTGCTGCCTCACAGCACCAGGAACCCTGGTTCAATTCCACCCTTGGGCAACTGTCTGTAAGGAGTTTGCACATTCTCCCTGTGTCTGTATGGATTTCCTCTGGGTGCTCTGGTTTCCGGGCACAGTCCAAAGATGTTTAGGCCAGGTTGATTGGCCATGCTAAATTGCCCGTAGTGTTCAGAGATGTGTAGATTAGGTGGGTTATAGGGGCATCTGGGTGGGATGCTCTGAGGGTCATTGTGGACTTGTTGGGCCAAAGGACCTGTTTCCACACTGTAGGGACTCCATGATCTATGATCTATCCAGTCCAGCACATGTGTCCTTTTGGACTTGGCCTGCTTGTTGTTGGTGGTGCTACTGACTCACACTTAGTGATGCTCATGGCAGCCAGCACCCCCACACCCAGCATTATGTTCCATGCCCTTATCAAGCTCTGTGCTTCCTCCAAGTGGTATTCAACAGTTCATCAGTTGAGGTGGGGCAGGAGGAGGGACAGCATTGATGGTACTTAGCAGGAAGTTTTGTTTTCTGTATTTAACCTAATACCATAAGACTTCATGGGGTCCAGAATCAATGTTGAAGACTGTCAAGGCATCTGCTTCCTAACCTTTGGTGGGTCTGACCTGTCAGTGGAAAAGACATACCCAGTAATGAGGATGAAATCATATCGGGCAGTTAATAATACTTTGAAGGACTTTTATATGTTGTATGAAATATGTCCAAGTAGTAATGTTATGTAAAGAAAAACAGCAACAAATAAAAAAGCATGAATAATATTTTAAAACTAAATTCCCCATAGATGAAAAGAGCAGAGGGGATGTTTTAAGTCAATTATCTGCTTTGAGAACCAGAAATGTAACACTTTATAGGTCATTCAGGAGATTGGAAAAAGAAGAAAAGAGAACAGTTCTGTTCTATAAACTCAGAAACATAGAAAATACTGGAACAGACCATTTAGCCTGCCCTACAATTCAATATGATCATGGTTGATCATCCAACTCAGTACCCTGTTCCTGTTTTATCCCCACACTCTTCAATCCGTTTAGCACTAGTAACTTGTATTGATCACCCTCTTGAAAATATTCAATGTTTTGGCCTCAATTGCTTTCTGTGGCAGAGAATTCCACAGGCTCAGCATTCTCGGGGGTAAGATATTTCACCTCACCTCAGTCCTAAACGGCCTATCCTGTATTCTTGAACTGTGAACCCTGGTTCTGGACTCCCTGCTCATTGGGAAATATCCTTCCTGCATTTACTCTGTTAGTCCTGTTAGAATTTTATGGTTTTCTATGAGATGCCCCCTCATCTCATTCTTCTGAACTCCAGTGAATATAGTCCAATGGATCCATTGTCTCTTCATTCATTAATCCTGTATTCCCAGGAATCAGTCTGGTAAACCTTTGATTATTTCCATTGCCAAAACATCCTTTTTCAGATAAGGAGACCAAAAATGTGCAATACTACATGTGTAGTCTCACCAAGGGCCTGTACAATTGCAGCAGACACCCCTGCTCCTGTACTCATATCCTTTCACTACAAAGGCCAACATACCATTTGCCCTTTTCACCAACTTAACCTCTCAGTTTAACCTCTCAGTCAGCTTTTTGTTATCTGTTAATTAGCATATATTACATATAGTTTCCTCATCTCCGTCACTGTATATATGGGGAATAGTTGTTGACCCTGTGGTACCCCACTAGTCACTGCCTGCCACTGGAAAAACACCTGCTTGTTCCTACTTTGTTTCCTGTCTGTCAACCAGTTCTCTGTTCATGACCCTCAATTCCATGTGCTTTAGTTTTAGACGCTAATGTCTTATATGGGACTTTTACCGAATGTCTATTGAACATTTTGTTGAAAGGTCATTGACTTGAACTTAAAATTTGGGCTGGATTTTACAGAAGACAATGCATATGAAGATTGGTTGTGAGCACCTTAAAGGCAACAGTAACATGCTGCGGACAGGCTAACAGATCATGGTCCTTTTCACCCCTCAGACTAAGATGTCCTGACCTCGAGAGCTGCTGGCCAATCTGGTCAGTGGTTCTGCATTCCCAGCAGCATCAGGACTCAGTAGTGAACACCTAGGAGAAAAGGGTAATGGCTTCCACTCTCTGTTAAGTTCAGGGTCTTTGGCTGCCTGGATGCGTCTGGCACCTTTGCAAGAGAATTGTGAGGGTGTTTTGTTTTGACCAGATGGGAGGCATGGAGGGGAGTATCCCTGATGGGTACAAGACAGCACCCAATGGATGACCTCCCATGTTGACCTACCCACTGTTTCACATCAGGTGATGAGTGGGAAATCAATGTGTTGACCTTGGATTTGTGACTTGATGTCATCACACTGGATTTTCTCTCCTGATTTGTAAATGTAAAATTTGGATCTCTCTTTCTCTCAACTTATGGTTCGTGACCTGGGGAGAATTTGTTGGCACTTTCCATTTTATTACTAAGTGGAAAGTCTGAAGATAATGAAAGGTGGGAGACATTCAATGGGAAACAAGTTAATATGATGGAGCCAGAATAAGTAGTGTCAGGCAAAGCAAAGAAATCCAGGGTATGTCAAAACAGTTGTGGTAAGCAGAATAATGTCAAACTGCAAACATAAGAAGGGACAAGGTTAAGATTGTCGCATGCATGGAAAAGAAGTAAGATAGGGGACAGATCACGGTTTGAAATAACTAAACCTCATGATATTTGTGAATTTTGTAATGTGCCTCTTTGAAAGAAGAGAAGCTGTTCCTCAAGTTTACACTCGGATTCGGTAGAATACTGCTGTAAGCTGAGGATGGAGAAGTCAGTGTGACAGCAAGTGGAGAATCAAAACAAACGGTCAGTGGAAGCCTAGGTTTATGCCTGTGGACTGAAGGAAGATGTATCATAAAAGCATCACCCAACCTGCATTCAGTGTCCCCACAGCATAGCAGTCTTCACCACATGGGAACATAGAATCATAGAATCCCTATGGTGTGGAAGCAGGCTATTCAGCCCATTGAATCCACACTGTCCCTCTGAAGAGCATCCGAACCCCCTACCCTACCCTTGTAACCTTGCATTTATCATGGCCAATCCACCTAACCTGCACATTTTTGGACTGTGAGAGGAAACCTTTGCAGACGCGGGGAGAATGTGCAAACTCCACACGGACAGTCACCCAAGGCTGGAATCAAACCCGGGTCCCTGGTGCAGTGAGGCAGCAGTGCTAACCACTGTGTCATTGTGCTGCCCCTGGGTGGAACAGGAGTATGCCATTTGCCCCTGGAGCCCACACTGCCATTTAGTAAGATTGTAGCTTATATGATTATAATTCAAACTCCACATTCCCGTCTACCGCTCTTAACCGTTCACCCCTTTGCTTCTCAAGAATCAATCTATCTCTTTGAAATGTTCAGATTCTGATTCCACAACCAAACAGGCTGAAAGAATTTCAAATCTGTTGGGTAATTATGAAGGCAAGGGTCCTGCATTCTGAAGTTCAGGGTCCTGTTACTTGTCTTAGTTTCAGCCACACTGTCCTGTTTGTGACCATTTATCACATCAGAAAACCTTAGTCCGAGGGCTTTTGCTGAGCAAGATTGCCTTCTGGAATAGTGTTCATATAATATCCATATAATAATATCTATATCAGTGTCAAAGTTGCTGGGTCTAAATCCTGAAACTCCCTTCCTAATAGCACTGTGAGTATCCCTACAACCCAAGGACAGTGGGGGTTGAAGAAAGCAGCTCACCACCACCTCCACTACCACCAGGGATGGATACTAAATGATGATCTAGCCAGTTATGCCAATGCCCCATGAACAGATTAAGAATAAAACCTTCAGGGATAGCAAGAAAGTTGGAGAATAAGTGCTGGCCTACTCCGTGACATTCTGTGAAGAAATTTTTAAAAATCTTGTCATAATTTTACCTCTTCTACATTTAATTACTTAATGTACCATATCCCTGTTGTAATTTGAATATTAAATGATGTACTCTTTAAAAACAATCTCACCATCAGTAGTCGCATTCTCACTTATCTTTATTATTCCTGTCTGTTCTGGCTGTGTTAATATATTGTGTGGCATAGCAGATGTAATGTGAAAATTGTGGGAAGAAATTCTTACATAACTGGTTTGTGGAAGTAAGTTTCTTAAAAAAGAATGTTTTTCTCCTGTTGTATCTCTCCATTGAAAGGTGTCTTTTTCTTCTTTGTATATTTTCTCTCTTAATTCTCGAAGTTCTGGAAAAAGTGATGATGAAGACTATGAAGATTTGATTCTTAACAAAACATGGGTATTGACACCAAAAGTTTATGAAAGTGATGTTACTCTTATTTTAAACAATTTATTGGAAGGGTATGACAATAAACTCAGGCCTGACATAGGAGGTAGGTGTACATGAGGTTCCATTTATGCATGTTTTCATTTTTGAATTTAACTTGATATTTTTCAAAAGTATATTTAGTTACAACTGAATAAGAGGTCAAATGCTAATAAATTACAATGTTTTGTTCCAGTGAAGCCAACAATAATTGGTACTGACATGTACATAAATAGCATTGGTCCAGTGAATGCTATCAATATGGTAAGTAATATGAATATTAATCTTAATGTTTGTTTGACGATTTCTGTGTGATTATATGCTGTGGTTTTAAATTAACAACTGAATGTCCATTTAAATGGAGTTCGTCAGTTTCTTGAGAGATAATGGATCAGTTTTTACAATACTGGAATAATCAAATATAATATTGCAATCCACATTTTATATTTGACTTCTAAGCTTGCTGGGTATTTTATCTTTTTGATCCAAGCACAGAAAACCAAAATCAAGATTCCAGAATCGGCAAATTACTCAAGGTGAAGTTTCATGTTTCCTATGCACTTTGTGAATGATCAAATTTCACATTTTATTTTCTTATCTTCGTTTTCCTTTGCAGTTCTGTGCATCACACCTGGACAAGCCTACTGGTATACTTGTATACTTCTACCTAGAAATCTGGTCTTGGAGTAATCATCTTTCAGGTGCTAATGTTCCTAAGCTCCAAGAGAGCAGGGAAGCATTTGCACATTTTTGATCAGAAATACATTGTCAATATTTGAAAACAATGTTGCACTCAAGACAGAGTTATGCTGGCAACATTTAAAAGTAAGAATACTTGATATAAAGATGCCTCTGGCAGGATCCACTCTAAATTTTCTATTGCCCAATGATTCTCTTGCTGTATCTTCATCATACACAATACAACATGATGCTAAATGTCAAGCAAACCCTTTACCATCACCATACAAAGGAACTGTAAAGATCTTACAGATCAATGCACCAGCCTGGCCAGAAGTCAAAGCAATGCCAGGTCCTTAAATGTACTGCTGATGTTGTCAATAAACAGACATTGGGCAGGTTCATTTTTGCTGACCCAACGTGAGTCATAACTCTTTATCCTTTGCCAGTTCTCTGTTCTACATTTATTCCAAAAGGCTACCAAATTATAGGCTGATAATTGGGAGACAAGGGTAATGTCCAGCATTTCATACAAAGCTGCAAAGCATAACCGAGTATGAGGGCTATGCTGTTAAAAGGAGCATTTATCAAGGAAAAAATAACTACTCAAGCAACATTTGTGATAACTAGTTTGTCCTGGAGGAGCTTTGCAGCATATGCTTGAGTACATATTCATAAGTCTCTTCATCTGTTACATGCTACAAAACTTTGATATCTTGTTGAACCAGCTTTTACCATTAGCTGAATGAGGAGAAGAAAACAGAAGATGACAAGGTGGAGGAAGACGATGAATGGGTAACATAACAACTAACACAGCTCTTCCCTACCAGAGCTGTCAGAGACCAATTCATTGCAAAGCTTTTTACCTTAATTAGGTCTTGCATTCAACAACAGTCATATAATTTCTTTATAACCATAATTCAATTACATTCCTTTAGTCTAACATTATTAGCCTGTCGTCCATTTCACTGGAAGGACAATCACTAACTTTAACAAATAGAGATTGTTAAAGAATGTCAGTATGGTCAAAAAAAAAATTAATCACCCAGGTTCAAATCTTTGTAGCTGTCAGGTATGCTCATTTTCCTATGCCTGTGCTCCTATAAAAATGTTTTCGTAGTGGCTACACTTTGGGTGATGGGAGGCTTCAGAACTTCCATTGAGGAAACTTCAAATATGCTTGGTAGGTGATCTCAAACATCTCTAGGTTTATAGAAACTAGTCTTAGACTGAACAACCTTAGTGTGGGCTGCAACAGTTTGTGTTCACTAGTTGTGTGATACCAATCACTGCTGGTGCTAAGTCGGATGGGTGAGCAAGCACGCCATCATTCAGAGCTAGGTTTTGCTGGTACATGCAGAAATAAGGTGATGCCCTGAAAGTCACTTTCGACAGGGTGCTCCCAAACCCTTAATGGCAACCACCATTGAGAGAAACACTTAACTTGTCCTGACATAGAAGTCATCAAAGCTAACATGAGGCTCCAACACTAATGGATTGATGGATCTGACCATTTAGCCCATGGTAGAATAGACTCTGTGCACTAAACCTTGGAAAACAGCTGTAATTTGGTTGCTTTTTCCTCCTCAACATTGGGAACAAGCTTCCTCACAGGCTTCTGAATGCACTAGGCATTTTCTGATAGATGCCTGTTATGATAATTGCAAGAATATGGACTGTCAATTTTCAACTTCTATCATTTGATTTTAATACCTGAAAAATTCATGGACTAAAATAGTCTTAAAAATGGAAGAAACGTGGACCTGAAATGACTGCAGTAATCAACTGACCACAAATTGAGGCAAGTTCAGGAAACCACTATGAAATAAGCCAAATCATCCAAATTAAAATGACATTTAAAAGATGCCGAAATGGTCAGTTGGGTCAGACATCAAGAAACCCACTTGTCCCGGCTTAATTTACACTTTCATGAGAAGTTGCACATATTGGACATTGAAGGTTGCCTGCTTGGAAAGGTAATGAAAACAGATTTGGGAAAACACAAGTGAAATATTTCAGTGGTTGTTTGGCTAAGATGCAAATGGAGAAAGAGCAAAAGATAGATTTGTAACAGTAAGAATTGGAAGACTCATTCTGTCCTGTTTCCTCCTCATACTGAAAGTTGGCATTAGTGATGAAGCAAACTGGAGGATCATCTCTTCAGTGAGAACTCAGGGATCCTACAAATTTTGCAACTTCTGTGGATACAATATATCAACGAAACAGAGATGATCTCAGGCGCAACTGTAAAACCTCAAGGACATTAAGGACTTTTTAAACTGTACCTTCTTAAGCTTCCTATTATACTGACCCTTCTTAAACTTTATGCCTCTGTTTGCATGATGTTAGGTATCATGTTTCATTATTTTTCTTGGGTTTAGTAAATAGTACAATTCCTTTTTCTCAGACTTAAGAAAACCTTGTAATTGGCTCATTAATTGTGACTAGAATTACATTTTAATTGAAGTGTGATTTAGCTATGTGCTAAAAATAATTTAAAAACTTTGTTATGGCTGACTATAATAGGAGGATTTGATTCATCCCTCCTCACTTGATCGTGATAGTACCCCTCAGCCTTTTTCAGCAGCACAAACCCCCAAGCTTGTATCATGATCTTGTACAAAAGCACTGTGTGTAGCCTTAGTCTTGGCAATCTGGTCTATGAGGTCCTGTTTCTGTTTGAGCTCCTGCAGACTTGAAAATCACCAAATGCAGGCATCACATTCAATCTTGCCCTGTAAAATTCCAATGGTGCCAAAATTTGAGCTGCAATCTGAGAGTCAGAAAAATTGACCATGCATTCACTGGAATGCTGGACTTCTTTTCTTGCTCAAGTTCAGGGGGTATTGATATTTTCAATAGCTGAGATGAAAGAAAGGGAGAAGGACTAACATGTGGCATGAGAGAAAAAAAGGAAGCAATGAATGTGTGTTGAAAACATCAGCATCGTTATAAAAAGTGTGTTGAATGAGGGAGCTTATAGGAATGAAGATATAATAAATACCATATGTGACATCTCCTGTCCTTTCTCACAATGGCTGGTATATGCTGTTCAAGGGAAGGTGATAGGTTCTGGCAGGTTGTTTTCACACTGGTTTCTAGACTTGTGTTCTGTACAATCTTTTCCTGCAAAAACGAAGGGAAAGTGTTATTGAGAATTTTCAAGTGTTTGGAAAACGTGGCTGGTTAGACAGAACAGCTGGCAGTCTGGATGTGAACTTGAAGTTGCTTGTAAGTGAGAGTTGTATTAGTTGTGAATGTGTTGAGCTTGGAGAGGGAACTTACTTTGATATGCTGTAATGATTGGAGAAGAGGCAGTGAAGGAAAGACTCTGTCTCTGTCAGTTATAATTGATAGGCGATGCTTAATATCATCCCCTTGGTGGGTCGGCTAGTGGAGAATGGCAGATGGGTTGCTTGTCACCTTTCCACCTAACCTTTGTGGGTGACTGATGTGGGTTACTTATGACCACCTGTAGTAGAGTTGTAAAGATTTGGCGAGCTCTCATCCAAATGACAGTCAGTGCTTATCTGAAAGACTCGGCACTGGGGAATGGAAAGACAACTGAGAACCACCCACCTATCATTGCTACTAAGCACCCCATCCACACAGCTCAGTTCTCTACCAACCCGCACCTTACAATCCCCTTTCTGCCATCAGTAAAATATGGCCTGGAGTCTAGCAACGATACTATGGCTTGGCAGCAGACAGTACCATCCAGTTTTGCTGCAATCCTGTAGAACTTCAGGCCTCTGGTTGTTTAGCAGTGCTCAGTTGATTGGGTATCCCACCCAGGATACTTGATCCCAGGGAAGGCTGACCACTGTCCAGCTGATTTCTTGAGCGGTACTTCATTCTGCAGGCCCTTCTTAAGAGCATTGCAGGACTCTCACTGGCTTACCAACTGATGAGTGAGACCCACATTGCTTTCATTAAATACAATTTTGTAAAGTCAGATGTGTTCTGAGCAGGCACGGGGTGACACGGTGGCTCAGAGGTTGGCACTGCCTCACAGCGCCATTGACTCACCTTTGATTCCAGTCCAAAGATGTGCAAGTTAGGTTGATTAACCATGATAAATTGCTCACAGTGTCCAAAGATGTACAAGCTAGGTGGATTAGCTGTGGGAAATGCACGTTTACTGGGATAAAGTGGGGGGTAGGTCTGTCTGGGATGCTCTTCTGAGGGTCAGCATGGACTTGATGGGCCAAATGGTCTGCTTGTGCACTGTAGGGATTCTGAGATTCTATGAATGAATGAGGGAGGCTTCTCACTTTAATAACCCCAGTTAGATCGTGTCTTTCTTTCCAGCATTGCAGCTTGACCCTTGGTACAATATTCCTCATATTCACATACATAGTAATTTCTTCTCACTGTGAAGAAGCTGCATAGAGGTCTTCCTGCTCTCTAGTAAACTGAACATTTCTTTGCTGTCCAATTACTGCATTGAGGAAAATCTGGGTGCCAACTTGCTTCCCCTTTCAGTGACTTCTGAGCTAAATTCTTTTTGAGTCTGCAACCAAAATGTGACCTCCTCCTTAAAGATTGCTTCTACCTTTAAGTGGTCTCCTGGATACCTTAGATCC